CCAGCACCCTCCACAGACCCTCGTTTCCATCACAGGAATAGTAAAGGCTGCCTGTGAACTCCTGGAGCCGGGGCATTTCTTACACCCCTAGCACTTCCCCGTCACCCCCCTGCCTAGACTGTAGGCGTGGGATACTGGCATCCTTCCTATCAGACACCAAAGATGTTCCAGGCGGCTTTTAGCTACAACGCATACAACTAGATGACATCACACGGGGCAGAAAAAACACATTTCAGAAATGAGACGGACGGAACAAGTGTTTGCAAAAATCACGTGCTTTATCATCAAGTTCTCTACCTTCGGTGCCAAGGATGCCTCTGCCCTGTACACCAGTGGGCTGAAGACTTTCAGGTTCAGTCACTTCTGAAAAGCACTATTTCTGGGTGCCATCGCTAACTAGGGGAGCCCTGTGGGACTATAGAAGTGATTCGGTATCAGTGAGCCCCACTTTCAGTTAAGAAGACTCATGCTGCCCTAACTGGTTTGGCTCAGTGGATAGAGCGTCGGCCTGTGGACTTAAGGGTCCCAGGTTCGATTCCGGTCAAGGGCATGTACCTTGGTTGCAGGCACATCCCCAATAGGGGTGTGCAGGAGGCAGCTGATGGATGTTTCTCTCTCATCGATGTTTCTAACTCCCTTCCTCTCTGTAAAAAATCAATAAAATATATTTAAAAAAAGAGAAGACTCATCCTAATTCCACTCACCAAAATGAACAAATATCACATGCTGTGCCTATCGTACCAGAGCCGAAGAGGCACCCTGGGACCAGAGCATGTGGGTGAGGTCTGTCCTCCCCCAACAGGACAGTGTGAGAACCCACATCCTGACCGGTGTCACCTCTCAGGCTCACGCCACCTGGGCCTGAGAAGGCAGACTTAGGAGTGGAAAGGCTCTCTGAACACAAACAACAACATTCCCTCCTAAAAAAAAAAAAAAAATCCTACAGGAACAAAACCCAAGAAACAGTATTTGGAGTAACCAGAAGTCAGATTTCCATAAAGCATAATAAGAAAACCCCCTCACATGACGTGTAATGTCATCATAGATATGTAATAGCCCTCAGATGGCACTAAGCCCACCTTGCCAGTTAAAATAACTAATGAAATCCCTCATATATTTAGTGTTTGCTTTTCAGAGCTCAAGTTTTTTTTTCCTGCCTTAATGCTAATTTTTTTCAACGTAATGGGTTAAGTTATTTAACTATCCTTACAGAGGAGAGCGCAGCAGCTAAGCCCAGATAGATGGTAGAGTCCACTAAACCACGATGGCAGTGCAGCCCGGGGCAAGGGGCAGGGACACCTCTCCACCTGCTGGAAGACCCTGGGGGTGAGGGGTGGGGGGTGGGGGGGAAGGCAGCTCACCAGA